AGCAGGCCAAAGCTGCAGCTTGTCTGTAGGTTCACAGACTTCTTTGTCAGTCATTTTCCCCCTTGGGAATATCTGGTGCTACGTTGGGTGCTGAAGAGGGGATTAATTAAGGAACTGGCTAGTTGGTTATATCAATCCATTTATCCCTCCCCCAAAAAGTGATCAGGAGCTTATTTCAACCATACACATGGAAAGGAACTCAGCTAAACATGAACACACAGTTCTTTCAGTGGGCAGGAACCGTAATAAAGTTGGCCCTCAGGAAGAGGAGGGTCTGACTTGGCGGCAGACCTCAGGAGCATCATTCCAGCACTTGTCTCTTCACTTGACTTTTTCACCCTCTGAGTATTTGCACAGCCTTTCTCTTACCTGCTTACTTGTGACTAGTAAGTCCTTTTCATGCTACTACTTTCTATTTCATGGAAACTACTCATTGAGATTCTCTGGAGAGCGAATCTAATTGGACAAGCTAATGACCATGGTCTGTGTTTGGACCACCCTTGGATGAGGTGCAGTCAGTGTCTTGGGAACAATCGAGGTCTGCCTTGGGACAGAGAATACCCCGTGGTCCCTCATAGAGCAGGGGACAGTGGGGATGGAAGGTTTAGCCAGAAGGGGAGATTGGGAAGAGGAGACATCCTAGTTGTATGCGTTCCTTGTTCTTAAATAGCTTATAGCCTCATTGAGGTTCAGATGATCTCATGCATAGGAAAGTGCTGTGTGTTTTAAATGTCAAACAGGAGTCACCAGGAAATCAAAATAGCGTCTGAAAAGCAAAGGATTTTGAAACCAAATCCTGCCAATCAGTCACTAAGCCTCACTGCTCTTGGCTTAAAAAAAAAAAAAGAACTGATTTATAAACACCGAACTCACAAGTTCATTTAGAAACATCGAACTCACAGAGTCCTTGTAAGGGTCAAATAAAGTAATGTGGGAGGACTTTGTAAATCAGAGATTTTTTTTATTGTTGTTATGACGATGATGATGATACATATTTACAAAATCATAAGAAGGACTTATTCAAGTACAGCGTGGATGTTTCAAGCATTGTTGAATGCCCATTGCACTGCTTCCTAACTATTACTAGCCATGCTCGCTAGACTAGCCTTTAACTTATCTGTGCCTCAGTCCTCTCCTCTGTAAAAGGAAGATAATAATAGAAGCTCTCCCAGGGTTGCTACTGAGGACCAAAGGAGCTAGTGTACTTAGAACCTCAGAACAATGTGTGACCCATGCTAAGTGATAGCTGCTATTATTGCTTTTATTATTATTATGGCTACGACTAGCACAGCTAATTCAGTCCAGTTAGACAGAGCTTGGCAGGCATGGGTGAGACCTGTACCCACGGGAGGAATCACGTGGAGGAAAGGTAGATTAGAAGGTGAGAAATGTTCAGGCAGATGAGACTGCCTCTTGGGGCAATGCATGGGGATCTTGGGAGCTGTGTATTGAGAAAGGAAGAGGGAGAAGAGCCTTTTGTATCTTAACATAGATTTGTTCCCTGACAGGTTGGAGGCCAGGTGGAGAGTGAGTTCTAGTCCATGTCTCTGTTGAAGGAGATAAACATTTCCGTATTTAACTTGCATTGACCTCCTGGTGCAAAGACTGATTCGATTCTGTGTCTGTCAGGGCTTTGATTCACGCTGCGTCACTACTCCATGAAAGCGCTGCCTACAGGTTAATGTTGGAATCCCTTAGCTTGCTACCCAACACCTCCCACAGTGTGATCCTCTGTCCTACTTTTCAACCTCTGGGACCTTGGCTGAAACTTTACCAAATGAATCAAAATGCACACTGAGGTTGTTCTTAATGAAATCATAAATCTTTGGGCTTCCCTGGTGGCGCAGTGGTTGAGAGTCCGCCTGCCGATGCAGGGGACACGGGTTCATGCCCCAGTGCGGGAAGATCCCACATGCCGCGGAGCGGCTGTGCCCGTGCGCCATGGCCGCTGAGCCTGCGCGTCCGGAGCCTGTGCTCCGCAACGGGAGAGGCCACAGCAGTGAGAGGCCCGCGTACTGCAAAAAAAAAAAAATAATAATAATAATAATAAATCTTTACATCTGCATTAGTTAACTACCAGTGTGAAACAAATTGCCCCGAAATTTAGCTGATTAACCTAAGGAACATTGGTCACCTCGAAGTTTCTGTGGTGGGGAATCCAGGGCCGGCTTAGATGGGTCCTCTGACTCAAGGTCTGTCACAAGTACAATCACATTGTTGCAGCCTGGGGTCCTGTTGCAGCCTGCCTTGGGGAGGGTCGCCTCCAGCCCCACTCACATAGTTGTTGACAGGATGCAGCTCCTCAGGGTTGTTGGAATGAAGGCCTCAGTTCGTCCTTGGCTTTTGGCTGGAGGCTGCCCTGAGTTCCTTGCCTCATGAGCTTCTCCATAGGGCAGCCCATTGCCCACAACGTTGAAGTTGGCTTCGTCAGAGTGAACACACAGAAAGTGGACTTCGTCTCAGAAGTAACCTTCCATTACTTTTGCTATATTCTTGTTTAGAGGCAGGTCACTGGCTCCAGCCCACACTCAAGGGGCGTGAGCACCAAGAAGTTGGGGTCAATCATTTGAGAGCCATTTTAGAAGCTGCCTCCCACCCTTACAAAGTAGTATGTTAGTTAAAGTAATGATCACTCCCGTAACAACATGTATGTGCTGAAATGTCAGAGGCAACATACTAGAAGTTTCTTTCTCATTCATACAAAGTCGGAGACAGTGAGTGAGCCAGGTGCTCTGCTCTACAGGGTTACTCAAGCATCCGGGCTGAGGGAGTCGTTGTCATCTGAAAAAAGTGTCTTCCAAGGTTGTCTTAGCTGACAGCATTCCAGAAGACAGACAAGGAAAACCAAGAGAGAGAGAATATAGAGAGTACCAATGGAGATGTTATGGGCATGTTTTTCATTTCTGCTCACAGTGTATTGGCCAGAACTCAGTCACATGAGCCTCCCGTCTGCGAGGGGACCTGGGAAACACAGTTCCTGTTTGGGCAGTCACTTCCCAGCAGTAGCTCTCCCCCCCGTAGCAGAGGAGCATGGATCTTTGGAAGACAGCCAGCCATGACTCCCACAGAGACTTTGCCTTTTACAAAATGCTTTCACGTGTATTATTTCATTTGCTTCTCATGGCAACCTGTGCTACCAGCATTATTACCTCATTTTAAAGACAGGGAAACAGACCAGCATGTCGTTAGAACATAATTAAAGAGAGCAGGATTCAAGTACCATCTCTGCCTCTTACAACCTGTGTGACTATGGAGAAGTTCCCCTGTGAACCTCTCTGTGCCTCAGTTATCTCAAATGTGAAACAGGGACAATGGGATTTATTCATAGTCATTGTAAAGTTTTCATATGCCCCATGTAAGTCACTTAGCATTATATCTGGTGTGCAAGATTAGCATTGCACTGGTATGCAAGTGCTTAATCAGTACTAGTTATGAGGAAGATGATCACAATGTTGTCTGGAGATAAAGAAGTTGAGGCGCAAAGGAGTTAAATGATTTACCGAAAATTATGCAACTAATAGAGTGGCCAGCCAGGATCGGTGGCTGGGAATTTTAGGTAACAACTTCCCTACCTTTCAAGTTCTTGCTTGCCCTAGAGGCCATTGGTCAGATTCCTGTGTAAAGTTGCAGTGAGTCAGCCTTGACCCGAAGACACAGTGCCCAGTGTCCCCTTCACCATGGCTCTGGTGGACCCAGGGTCCCGGGAAAATCAACACTACACCACCTTCTCAGCTCGTCTGCTCCTCCTTAACTTGGCCTTTGCCTTTTTGTATGAAACATGCTGACCGAGCACCTCCTTTTAATTTATACTCTGAGGTCCTCCAAGGCCTATATTTCAAGGTCTTTGTTTATAAATAGGATCTGTCTTGCTAACTAGATGAAAGCATGGGAGAAGATGTAAGATGAGATGTTTCATTAAGACACTTAAATTTTATCACATTTCTCCCAGGGGCTTGTTCACACTGAAAGAAGACAAAAGCATTTCGCATGTTCAATAGTCATCGAAGAACACATTTGGGTAGGGTAGCTTGGCCCGCAAATGCTACAGATCCACAAGGAATGGCCAAGAGACATCATCAGAGGCTACAATGTTCATTTTCATGGCATCTGACCTTTTTGTTATATAGAGTGAGGAAGAAGCATAGATGGACACATTGAATACTGTCATTGTCTCCAAGCAGTGGATTCATGGCCTTAGGTGGGCAGATTCTCTGAACTTCAGATCTCAGATTGGGTCACAACTCAGACCCTTCGTTTTAAGAGATCATTAAGATGAAAGACTTCTGGAATGGGCCAGAACCACATTAAGTCCACTTGAGTGTGGATTATCAGCAGAAATTTCAGCTTCTATCAGTAAAAAATGTCCATTAGCCTCTTGCAAGCCCTATCTTTCATCTTTTTTTCTAGCTGGACCATCACTTGATACAGATCTTGTCACATCATCTTTCCTGTCAATGACATTGATTAGAACCTGAATTTAATTTACTTCCTGGTGAAAGACCACAGAGAGATTAGTCCTGAGCATCCTCATGTATTACTGCCAGTACTCCATACCATCCCAACGCCTTGATTTACCATTCTCTTGCTCATTTTTTGTACATAAATTTTTCTTTAGATTCCGTATTCAGAGTATTCAATCAAGGGATAAATCCATTTAAGAATATTTTCCTCTTTCAAACTAGTTGAACAAGGTGTTGTTAATCTTTCTTTGTTCACAGTCTCCTAAGAACCTCATATTTCCATTTTTTTAATGCCAGAGAAAATACAGGCAGTATCTTTTTTAATGCCAGGCATTTGAGGTGAAAAGAAGAAAAAAATAAGTTTGTCATCTGGATATATCTAAATAGCCAGATCTGGATCATAAAAAGCTGAACTGAGTTGTAATTAAATGGTGTTAGGAGACTCGGGCATCCCATGATTTCAGATTGTACGAAACTTCCTGGGGCACCACCTCCAGTTCCATCTCAGTGACTGTACACCATCCCCCCACCCCCTTCCAGGAACCAATGTCCATGAGGCCCAGAACATTCTCAGTAACAGCGGACTCCCCATTACTTCGGCCGCCGACCTGGAGGATGCAGCCAAGAAAGCTGTGGCCAGCGTGGCTGAGAAGTGATGTCTTTGTCCTGATCCCTTGGAAGAAGAAGTGCATTTACCCATAAAAAGTAATGGTTTTCTCATCACTGTGAAGAAAATGGTTATCCCACTGGGGAAAAAACGGAGAAGGAAGGAGCAAGAATCACTGTATAAAAAACTCCAATCTGTATTTTCTTGAATATCTAAACAGCCTAAATAATCTGATTTCCCTTATAGTCTTCATTAAATTAATGCCCTGCATTCTAATACTTCCCTGTCATGGTGAGCTAGCTCGGTAGGCATTATTTTGCCAGCTTTGGGGAGCAGTCTGTGTGGCCAACCAGTGTGCATGTGAGATCAGGCCCTGGTTTATTTACAACAATTTTGGTGAACATTTCGACCTGTGTAATTAAAAAAAACAAAACAAACAAAAAAATCACAGGCTGTTAAAAAAAAAACAGACAAGATTACATTACCAAAAGGTGCAGCTAAGACATTGAAACAGGTGTTATAAACTGCAACAGTTTTTACAATTTCCAACTCCAACATGTTTAGAAAATCCATAAATATTACAAAATATATTTTACAATGAAAGATCTGCAGTCAGTACCCCATACATGTATCCTACCATTTGCCTTAATATTGAATATGCTGTTTACCTCCCACTAAAAATAAAGCCAGAAGCCTTATTTGTGATTTTGGAGTAGAAGTTTCCCTTTTAATATCAAAACTGAAGAAGGTTGATTCTTATGGAAATCTCTGACGCTCATTTCAAGATGAGACAACACTGAAAATTAAATTACACTGTGAATGTCTCTGTCTTCTCTCCCCACCCATTTTCCCTCAGAATCTACCACCTGGGAAAATGTGATTGGGAGAATGTGGCTTTTTTGCAGTGTCCATTTTTACGGTGGGAATGTGATTTAGGTTTTTGTCTAAATTTTGGTAAATTTTTATCTGTACAGAAATTCAAATAAAATCCTCTGTTTTGTAAACTCTAATATCTGTGTTTCTTATTTTAATCCATTTTATTCCTCAAACATTTTTTCTCTTTTACTAAGACACTGGCCTTAGTGTCTTAGGCATATCTCCAAAGTTAGAAGATTTGGGTTGTCCCAGGATTATTCCAGTTCTACTCAACTTTATCAGCAACCATATCTGTTAAGAGATTATTTAATGAAAGAATGAACATTATATACACACCAGAAGCCCAGGTAAGTGCCACAGATGTCTCATAGGTTAAAATGTGACCTCAGTTTGCATAAGGAAATACACAGACATAACCTCCTCCCATATATGAGGCTCAGGTGCCAACTATTAACAGTTTCCTTCTCAATGTGCAAATGTGTCACAGACCAAACCTTTTCGTTGGTCTTTTTTTTTTTAACCAGTTTTTACATTGTTCTCATAAATTTTACATCTGGACAAAAGTCGTTTTTTGGTTTTTGGTGTTTTTTTTTTTTTTGCGGCACGCGGGCCTCTCACTGTTGTGGCCTCTCCCGCTGCGGAGCACAGGCTCAAGACGCGCAGGCTCAGAGGCCATGGCTCACGGGCCCAGCCGCTCGGCGGCATGTGGGATTTTCCCGGACTGGGGCACGAACCCGTGTCCCCTGCATCGGCAGACGGACTCTCAACCACTGCGCCACCAGGGAAGCCCTGGACAAAAGTTTGAAAGTCATTATTTTATAGATCCATATTTGCCATGGAGAAAGAGCTCATTTGATAGATCAATCTTATGTCCTTTCTTAATTGTTATGCAATGCATGAAAAATATTAACAGTGTCTTTTTAAGTGTGTTTTGGTTTTTGATAGATTAACTAGTTAGTATTGTAAAAGATATAATGTATACTCTGTCATCGAGACAAAAACTACATATTTGACTCTTTTGCCCTTTGTAAAAGCTTGTGTTCACATGGCTGTACATATTGATGTTTCTAATCAATACAGTTTGGAGGAGGGGATAAAGAAATTAAATCATTCATGTGATTATTTTATAACAGGGTTAATAACAAGCAAATAGCCCTTTATTTTCAAATAAGTGGGAAGCTTTATTTTCTTGGAAGCTCCAAGTATTGAGTTTATGTTGCTTGCATAGTATCCCTGTTGCTCAGCACAGTATAGCTTCCATAAATTTTTATGGAATGAATTTCCGGTGTGTGTGTAGCCACAGCTATACTGAGTACAGAGTAGAAGTGGGGGCGCTTGGTGTTGGTTGTGGATCTGAAGTCCATACATTACCTCCTCCAGGGTGCCCTACATTTTCTGACCTTCTGGCATCCCCTTTGAGTCTTTGTCTCAGCTGTACTATATGTAAGGGTGAAAAATAATTTCCTTTAAATTTGATTAGTATTTGTTAAACTTGGCCCTATCCTAAGCAAGAATATCCACGAAAGGAGGTTGACAGTCTAAACACGGTACTCAGTATCCAAGAAGCTTGAAAAGTAGTACACACTTTTTTACCCAAACTGCTTTGCATGTAAGATTTTAATGGATTTGCTAGTCTACCATGTCTGTCTCCTAGAACCAGCATCAGATTTAGAGGAGATTAAAGTCCTGACCCTTTCACTTACCAACATTCACTTTTTTGGGTTGAATAATCTCTCATACTTGTATAGATTCTCTTGTAGTGGCACAAAGCAACTCAAGCTTAAGAAAAAAGCTTTCTTAAAAAAAAAAGAAATAGTAATTATGTACTTACAATTTGTTCTTGTAATTACAAAAGGCAGATGTTTTTGGTTACAGTTAAGGCTAGATCTGGAAACTCAGAGCCTCAGAACGTGAACTCTGCATCTCATAGCAGCTTGTCTCTGTGTTGGTTTCATTCTCAGGCAGCCCATTTCCACAAGATGGCAAAATGCCATCCCAGGTACATATTCTCAAGCTTAGCATCCCTAAGGGAGAAGGAGTGGGGCAGGGGGCAAGAAAGAGTAAAGGATGGAAGAAAGGGAGGGTGGGAAGGAGAGGGGGAGAGAGAGAGAGAAGGGAGGAGGGTGAGGTTGGTTCTCTCCCGGTAATTCTGAGACACATTCCAGAACTGAGATGATCAACTTTAGGTCAGGAACCTATCCCTGAACCAGTCCTCTGGCCAGGAGTTTACAGGGCTCTGACGAGTCCAGACTGGGTTAAATACCTACTTGTTGGCCTGAGAACGAGACCACCCTCACCCAAACTACCAGAGCTGAGAGTAAGAAATGGAGGGGTAATTCCATAAGGAAATTGGGTCTCCAGTAAGAAGAAGCAGTGTTTTCTGAAAAAGAAAACTAAGAGATGGTAACTACAGTCATCAACCATAGAGCAATGATGTTGAACCAGTTGTTCTGTAAGGACTGTTCCAACTCTGAAATGTCATGATTTTATTCTATTAATTTCTCACCATTTCTTTGGAGTCCATTCTTACACGTGCATACAGGTTACCAGGTTTTTTGAATAGATGCTGCTTGAGTCATCTAAATATTTGACTTTGATTTATTTGTCTTGAACAGTAATGTCCACATAAGAAGTAATGGCGTTGAGGCACTTTGCTCAATTTTAGTTTTCTATTTAAGTTGTAATTCAACTCAGGAATTAGTAAAATAGCCAGGAAATTTTAAATGACCTGACTGGATCTGTGAATCACTTTTAGTTAGTTATTTTAGAGTTTATATGCTATGTCCATCCCTCTCAGTTTGCTTTTGGCAAGAAAAAAGATTATCATCCTAAAGAATTATTTTATTTTTATTCAAGGTTTTAATAAAATGAGAGGAAAAATTATGTTTTGACATTTCTAAATTAAATATTTAAAAATCTGATTATTTGCAGGATGCAATATATGTTCAAATAATTAAAATAAATGAAAAATCATATAATAGTGGTGAAAAGAAAGAAACAAACAGTGGGAGGAAGAGCAAGAAAGGCTATGTTCTTCCATATCCTTCTAGATCTGGAGTTGGCAAATTAAGGCCCAAGGGACTATTTAGTAAGTAAAGTTTTACTGACACACAGCCATGCCATTTATTTGCATTTTGTCTATGGTTGCTTTCATGCTACACTAGCAGAGTTAAGTAGCTGTGATAGAAATTTTCTGGCCCTAGAATGTTTACTTGTTGGCCCTTCACGGAAAAAGCTTGCCAACCCCTTCTCTATATATATTACCCACAAAATGACAGCACAGATGATTGTTTCCAAACCTGGGAAAGGCAGATTTAGGCATTAAAGTGATAAATGAATAAATAGGAAATATGATCTTTGACCTTTGCATTTTAAACCCTGTGAAAATTGACTAGTCTGCAAAAGGCCATTTGCCAATGAAAACCTTTTAAATTATGTTAATTTGCTTCTTTCCATCACCACAAGAACTGCCTGTACATAGCTCTTCGTTCTTCTGAACATATGCTATTGTTAACTACTTACAGGTGTATTGGAATAATATCAAATCATGGCTACGAATACTGAACTCCCAAAGAGCTGTACCTATCGAGTCATACTCAAAGTGGTCCTTGCTAGAGAATTTTTTGTGCATAATTTAATCTTGGGGTCCTGGGAAGATGATAAGAAAGCAAAGGAAAAAGTGATTTCAGTGCACCTGATCCCTACAACATTGTTGTAAAGGCATCGTTTCACTTTATCTTTGGGGAAACATAGTGAGATAAAGTTGCTCTGCTAAAGTTACATAGTTAGTGGCAAAACTTTAGGCTTTTGGGCTTCTGGTTCTTGTGAAATTCTATCACTTCTAGTGCATCATTGCCCAGTAGAACTTCCTGTGATGATGGCAATGATAAGTACTGGTGCTGTCCATTATACAGCCACATATGACCATTAAGCACAGAGAACTGAATTTTAGAGACTATTTAATTTCAAGTAATTATTAGCCACTTGTTGCTGGTAGCTACCATTTTGGACAGCACAGCTCTATAGTCTAAATCTACTGGTTTATTATGCATTACTTTCACATCAGAGGAGCTCAGATTGATTCAGTGCTTCCTTTGTTCCAGGAACTTTACAGCTGTTGCCTTAATTAGTCCTCTTAGCATCCCTGTGAATTTATCATTCCTCCATTACAGATGAGATGTTTTACAGGTGATATGTATCTCAGGGCAGGTAAGAACATGACTAAGGACACAATACCGATATGTGACTGGTCAGGATTGAAGTCTGATATTCTGAATCCAAAGCTAGTGCTTTTTGTTAAACCTGTCAGGACCCAAATCCAGTATAGTTATGCTGCTGATAGCATTGGATAATTTGAAAGAATGTTAGAGGCAAAGATGTTTAGCAAGCTGGGTGCTTGAATTGTTTGCCTTTTTAGTGTACCTTATACCTTGGGAAGGAAAATTTAAAAGCTGAAAGATCGTCCTGTGCAGTTGGACAAGTTGTATAGACTATAATGGGAATGGCACCTTTCCACACTCGCACAGTAAGACATAAGGCAGGGGCCATTTTCTAGGGACCTAATTCCAAGTGCCTTTTTGCTAATTCGTTGCCTTCCCTGATACACAAAATGATGACCACCCACAAGACGAAAGGCAGAGGGGCAGGAAAGGTGAAGGCTGGAGAGAGTATTATCATAGAAGTAGGAGAAAATTTAGATAGAAGTATCATTATTCTGAAAAATTTGGGCCCAGAAGTCTTGTCTCATATTTTAATATTCAAAATAGGCCAGTTGCAATTCTTAGGTACCTTATGCCAAACATCACAAATCAATTAGATTTTATATGCCAACTATGGAAAAATATATCTTTTTTCTTGTTCCTCTCTTGTGTGTGCAGAGGCAGTGTGTGGAGGCATGTTTTTTTTGTTTGTTTTTTTAACTGGGAGACCTTCTAGCCCTTTTCCTAGCTACAGGAGAAGAAATGAAATACAGTCATTATGTAGCAGTTATTTAGAGATCTGTTCTCAAAGATCAGACAGAAACTGGGATAGACTGGAAGAATTGGAGGTTCTTATTTGGAGTTCATTTTCAGTTGTCTTTTAATGTTGACTATTCATGTACTCTAAATCCTTATAATTATTTCCCCTGAGGGAG